AGTTTTAAGAGACCGAGAGAGACTCCTTGGTTAGTGTGGAACAGAGAATTTGTAGTTACACAGATCTGTAATTTTTCTGTAAATGCTTTGGGACCATAGTTTTAGAACTCAGTTTTTGTGAGATGTTTTCAAATGTGATTTCATAATATATATATATATATATATATATATATATATATATATATATAAATCGCAAGGTAAGCATAGATAACAGAAATAGAGATGACATTGCCAGGCTTTGGAAGGAAGATTTTTCATACTAGATTAAACTGAAGTCTCATTGCTATCTGTCTGGATCTAGCAGCAGACAGCAGTGGACAGAACTGGGCCCTCAGTGGTAAAGAGGAATAAAAGGGAAGGGCTTCATGGGAGGTGGGAGCCTGTAGCTGCATAGTACATGACAACAAGTGCTTGGGTGGAATTCTTCAGCTAGTGAAAGGAGGCCATGAGATTTTTCTTCACTGAGTGGGATAATCCTGTGTAAAGAATCCCTTATCTGCTATTTTCATTGAGAAATGCTGGCCAGGACGAAAGATAAGGATCTGAGTCAACACAGTAGCAATGAGTGTGAAGTGGTGGGATTGACAGGAGAAACTTAGGAATGAGAAGGAAAATGATGGGTTATGACTCACAGGTTCCTTGCTTAAGTAATCTGCCAGTGGTGTAGTCAATACCTGGAATAGATGCCCTGAAGAAGGAATAAGATTTGGGAGACAGCTGTTGATCAGTTTCAGAGAGGAATATATTTCAGTGTGAGGGCTGTCATATGTGTGGGTCTTGAGCTTAATGTGAAAGAGTTAAGCTAACTCAGTGGTTGTTAAAGTAAGGAGAGTGAATGACATTTCCTGGACAGAGTATAGAGAATGAGAATTAGGCTGAAGTGGAACATAAACAACCACAGAAACAGATGCCAGCAAAGGAGACCAAGAAGGAGTAGCTGGATATGGAAGAGCCCTGAGATCAGTGTCGGGGAGGCCTGAGAGAAGGACAGCATGGAATCATCTTTAATGCCTCATTTGGAGAGACAGGGCATGTTTAGGATTTCTTGGAGTTGAGGAGCTGATTGTCTCACTCTGCTTATGTAGTTTCTTGGGACACTTAGGTCCACCTCAGTCAGACTAGAGTTCACACAGTTCTAGTGGGATGACACTATTTATATATATGCGCTGCTGACTTATAGTAGATTCCAGGGCTTCGGAATGGGTTTCTAAAGAAATCTTGCACATATGAACATATTGGTGTGTGTTAGGAAAGGTAATATTAGAAAGAGAGGTTGGGACAAGTGATAGAAAGACCTGATGTTAGAAGAGACTCAGCCAGAAGCTTGTCTTGGTGAGAAAAAGAACTCCCATCCAGAGAGTGAAGATGATGTGGGTGCAGACTGCATGTGCTACCACAAAGTTACTTTTTGGAATAAGTAGATCTTTAGAATAGTCTGATATATTCTTAGTGGAAAACTTTTTTGGCCTGAATGCTCTTAAGGAATAATTGTGTCTGACAAATGCCTGTTTTGAATATTAAAATTGCAACAATTTATAGTTAGGTTTAGGGTGGATTATCAGATTTTTAAAAGAAAATACTGTTAACATGACTTGGTAATTGCTGATATCCTATATTTATAAATTTGTTAACCAACAGTTGCTTAGTTTCACAAGCAAAGAAACACAGAGGAGTAGTGGGAGAGTATCTTTTTCAACTACATCTCTACCTCCCCAGTGACACTACAGGAAAGAAAGAGGGGAGGGCAGTGGTCTTCACAGGTCTGCCTGTATACCTCATATGTGAATCTAGTTGTTCTACTGCATTTGTATTGTTAAAGCCCACTCATTCATTTACCAAATGTCTATTAAGACCTCCAGTTCCATTTTAGCACTGGAGATATAAGTCAACAATACAAAAATGCCTCTATTATAGAAGAGAGCTTGCATTATAGAAATGAGAGGCAGAGCTGGGCATAGTGGTGCATGCCTGTGATCCCAGCTATCTGGGAAGCTGAGACAGGAGGATCACAAGTTCAAGCTCAGCCTAGACATTTTAGAAATTTAGTGAGACCTTGTCTCAAATAATTTTAAAAGAGCTGGGGATATATTTCAATGTGAAGGCTTTCAGTGTAATCCCCAGTACTACAAAAAAGTGTGTGTGGGGGATACAGACAATGAATATATGTGAACTTGATACTACTTTCCTGGGGCTAGGACAAAGTATTCAACATCTACAATTTTATTTACATGCAAATGTTACACCTTTAACATTTATTTAATTTTATCATCAAGAAGGAAGTTCATATCCCGTAGTCTTTTAAGTTATAACTTTAAAAATGTTTTATTAGTATAGTTATGCAGAACATAATGATTACATCCATCATGGGGAGTTGGTACATGCACATGACACATCCTAAGTTTTAAAATTTCTTCTTCCCCTCCTCTCCCTTTCCCCTCCTAGCACGAATAATTGGAAGGTAGAGAGATTTATTTTGGCTCAGAGAATTCAGTCTATGGTTGGTTTCAAGGCAGAAACAAAACAGAAGTGCCTGGTAGAAGAAAGCTGCTCAGCATGTGGCAGCCAAGAAGCCAAGAAAGATGAAGAGGGGAGGAGCCTGGGATAGGTATATACCCTTCCAGGCCACACTCCCGGTGACACCCCCCCACCAGGCCTCACCTCCCCAACAGCATGTTCAGCTATGGATTAATCAGTAAATTAGTTCACTGATGAAGGTGGCACCCCTATGGTCCAGTCACCTTTCAAAAGTCCAACCTCTGAAAATGTGAGACTTGTAGGGGCCATTTTCGATCTAAATCACAACAACTATATTGTAATAAATGTTAATGGAAATAAAAATTGATAATAGCAAGGTGTAGTAGGCATTCACAATTGTGGAGTTTATGGTAAGACCTGGGGGAAGAGTGTCCGGGTAGAGAAGAGGTAGAACAAAGGCCCAGAGATTGTAGCTTCTTAATATGTTAGAGAACGAACAGCAAGGAGCTGAGGTGATGATGTGGAATGAACAAGGGAAAAGAGAATAGGGGGTGAAGAAAGTGTAGAGATGCTGAGGGTCTGGTTTTGAACATGTGAGTTTGAAATGTACAGTAGAAGTCCAAATGGAGATGTTCAGATAGGTGAGGTGGCGTTCTGGATGAAAGCTGGACTGGTAATGTTTATTTGGGAGGGTGGGTTTGACATGAGTGATATTTGAGCATAGAGAAGGGTGTCAAGGACTGAACCTTGAGTTGCTTAGATATTAAGAAGTCAAGTAGCTGGGAAGGAATCAGAATGAGCAGGAGTCGTTAGTGGAAGCCAGTTGAAGAGGTGTATGAGAGTACAAGGAGGTAACGAAAAAGGCAGATGCTCCTGAGATAGATAAGAATCAACTGTTGGTTCAGCAGAATGAAAGTGTTTGGTGTTGCTGAAATAGCAGCTCAGGAGATCAGTGAGGGGGCAAAGACACATTGGAGTGGGTTGGTGAGAGTGGGAAGTGAGGTTGGAGGTAATAAAGAGCATACACTAATAGGACACTCGCTGGTTGAAGAACTAGCTTTTTTCCTCATTCATCAGCTGTTAATTATTATTTTGTGAGACGCTAATAATAGGCATTTAATAATTTTGTTCTTATTGGTTTTTTTCTTTTTGTACTGGGTATCAAACTCAGGACCTTGTGCTTGTCAGGCAGGCGCTTGTGCCACTGAGCTATATCCCTGGCAATAATTTTGTTTTTGACTTAGAAGAAAAAAAATAATTTAATTCTTGATAGGAGTCTTGCACTAAAAGTGTACCAATAAAACTACTATTTAAAAAATGGAATTGAGGGGCCAGCCAGATAGCTCAGCAGATTAAAGTGCCTGCTTACGCAGATGCAAGAACCAGGGTTTGATCTCCAGCATCCCATGCCAGCCCAGCCCTTGGGGCGTGCTGAGACGTGGCATGAGATTGGGAGTGGTGGTGCGCACTGTAATTCCAGTGCTTGGGAGGCTGAAAACAGGAGAATCACTATGAGTTCAACCTATGTAGTGAGATCCTGTAGACCCTGGACTAAATACAAAAAAGAAAAAGGAACTTGTAGCTGGGGATATAGCTCAGCAGCACAATGCCTGCCTGGCAAGCGTGAAGAGCTAAGTTCGATTCCCCATACCAAAACAAAGCAAAATAATTCATGTATATGTTTCAGAATATTTGCCTTGCATGTTGAGCCATGTAAAGTCACATGTAAAAACCCTTGACTCTGACCTGTTTGTGTGTCCTTGTTTGTCTCAGCCACATTCTCATCCTGTTCTTTCTGAGGCCCCTGATTACTACTTCTCTATACGTAACTAATCTCTGGGCTTAAATCATGTTACAATGTTATTTTCATTAGTATATATGAGGATAGAAGAAGAATTGGTTGAAATGTCCATCTTTTAAGATTCCCAGTGGAACAGACTGAAACTAGCTTAACCAAGACAATTAGCATGACTAAATATTTAGAGCAGATATTTGTAATGACCCTGAAATAGGAAATATGTATTTACAATATTTTATTTTTCAGTTATATTAGATAAAAATTTATTAGTTGGGTGTGGTGGTACACACCTATAATCCCAGCACTTGGGAAGTTGAGACGAGGAGGCAGAAGGTTGAGGCTGTGAGTTTGAGGTCAACCTGGGATACAAAATACATTCAAGGAACTACAAAGCAAGATCCTGTCTCAAGAAACCAGAAAAAAAAAAAAGAATTAAAAAATTTTTAGAGAGGAACTTATAGTTGTAACCTGCATTTTCTGCCTCTAAATGCTAAATGTATCTTTTGTTGTATTCTTTATCTCCACTGTGACTGTCTAATCTGGAGACCACAGCTGTGCTTGTGACCTACCTAGTCTGTTCAGTTGTTTTGCTGTCTCTAGGGTGTATTTTTAACCTAGATATATGAGCTAGTAAAGTGAAGTATAGCCTTTACTTCTACATTCATACATGAACATTTAAGAATCACATATTAAATAAAGAATCATCTGTTTCTCCCTAATAATTTAGCTCTGTAAGAAGCATCATTTTGGGATTAACAGACCAGAGAAGATTATACCATCTCCTGATGAGTCCAAGTTTCTGTTGAAGACCTTTACGAATATTAAGTCCAATGTGTCTGCTCCAAATAAAAAAAAAGTAAGACTAATTGATATGGAATTTGAGTTAATCTTTGATTAATCTTAAATTGAAAAGGAATTTTTCTGCTAGTAAAATTATTTTCAAGTCATTTGTTTTATCAAAATACTGTTTCATCATGTCCTTGGGATTATTCTCATTGGAAATCATGTATTGCCTTTATACTTTGCATTTAATTCTGCAGCAATAGTAGGTTAATTTTTTTTTGTAGGTTAAGGAAAGCAAAGAAAAGGAGAAATTGGAGAGAAGATTACTTGAGGAGTTGCTGAAGATGTTCATGGACTCAGAATCCTTTTACTATAGTTTGACCTATGACCTGACCAATTCAGTGCAAAGGCAGAGCACTGGGGAGAAGGATTGTCGTCCCCTCTGGCAGAAGGTACCGTGCTTTGCTAAGAGCAAGGCTTGTCTCTGAAACAGTTGATGGCCTATTTTGTCTTTTATAGGAAAACTGAAATGTGTTTCTGAACTGTATTTTTCCTCTGCTTTTTCTAGGTTGATGATCGATTTTTTTGGAATAAATATATGATACAAGACCTTACTGAGATTGGTGTGAGTAGTTTCCACAATATCATGTTACTTATAATTGTCAAGCAAATGTTTTTTAATTGTTTTTTTTTCAAAGTTTTATTGATAAACAGATAGCAATGAGACAGTTTCAAATCCAATCGGAAGTACAGTTTCAACAAATAATACACTGCATATATTCTTCTTAGTGGTTAATTGCTGTACACGAGGTGGACTTGTTTAGCTATTTACAAACACCATTAGAACAAATCATTCTATTCATTAAGAGAATGCAACTATATATCTATCCTAACCACTTGGAATACACAAATACAAATGGACATTCATCGGTATACCCCATTTTTTCTAAGTTCCGTTATTGAATATTATAGGTGTGTAAACTCAGCAAAATATTCTAAAAGAGTCCA